TGCCTCGAAATGGTGGAAGTTCCAAAATGTGTATACGTAAAAATAACTTCTTTGACGAGGGCTTTGCCTGTTGGAAAATGTTTATCAGAGGAAGTTTCTCTGAGTGAAGCAAAAAACAGCGCTTGGGATAATATTCTGTCAGAAACAGTCATTCGTTTAACTTACAAAGCAGTTAGCGGTGAGAACACTCTCTCAAACCGCTGGCTTCTACCCGCAGAGGGAGGCTCCTCAGTTACAAGTGTCATGATCTATAGAGAAACAGCGAATGCTTTAGTTATATGGCCACTTTAAAGAAGCTCACAGGCAACTGCATTTTTTTAATATAAAGAAAGAAAGGAAGGAAAATACATTTTGAACAAAATTGCTGAGGGGAAGAAACCAGATGTGAAGACTAACAATGACAGCACCATGTGCCGGAGTTTGGCTTTGGGGTCAAGGGTCACGGTCCGGCCCTTTGCTGAGTAACGTGCAAGGAGGAGGTGCGTCCACGGAACAGGTGATGTCAGCACCGCTGGCTGGACGTACAGAACAGCGGGTGGGCCAACTGGCGCGTGCCCTGCCTCATTACCTACACGGAAGTTATTCTCTGTTTACTTTTCACGCTGTCTTGGCCAAGCAACAGAGTCACTGGAAGTGAGTTTGGGCTCCTGCTGCAGAGCAACGGCACACTGAGGAGGCACCGGGAGGGGCTGCCGGGTCCCCTGGCCCTACCCAGCCCTTTCCCACCACACCCTCGACTGCTGGGGGGCACAGCTGGCATCTGCCCTCCCTGCGTCCCATGAACAGCGCTCTTCACAGCCCGGGGCACCTGCGACACCTCCTGAGTCACATCAGCTCAACATACACCTGCTGAGTGAACAGGTGGTTGGCTTTTTTTGTTGTTGTAATCCTCACCTGGGATTACCTCAAATGGGATATTTTTCCTATTGATTTTTAGAGAAAGTAGAAGGGGGTTAAAGTAGAAGGGGGAGAGAGGGAAGGAGGGAGGGAGGGAGGGGGAGAGGGGGGAGAGAGAGAGAGAGAGAGAGAGAGAGAGAGAGAGAGAGAGAGAGAAACATCAATGGGAGAGAGACACCGCGATTGGTTGCCTCCCGAATGCATCCTGGGTCAGGGGATCGAGCCTGCAACCCAAGTATGTGCCCTTGACAGGGAATCAACCCCAAGGCCCTGCTGTGCATGGGCCGATGCTCTAACCACTGATCTATACTGGTCAGGGCAGATTGGTTGACTGTTTAAGGTATCTCTGATGACAGAGGTGCTAAAGGTCACAGACGCTGTGTAAAGCGGATGCTGGTGCCCGTGCAGTACCTCTGCAGATGAACGTCTGGGTGTTAGGGCGTGAGCACTACCACGGCCGCACAGTAGGTAGCTCCTAGTGCGGGATGATCTGGGCCTGGACCCGGAATCACTCGGATGTCATTCCCGCTGCACGTCAGCAACAGGGTCTGAGGCTGTGTTTTTCTGACGCAGAATTTGCCAAATTAATAAGAAACAGAATCAACACACCATGAGCCTTGCTTCAGTGAATAATTTGCTTGCATTTGGGTTCCTGAGACTATTGCTGATTTGGCTGCAAACAGCTCTGTGAGTTTTGGAAGCCACGAAGAACAAATCTGTAAATACTTGATTCTGAATGTCACGGAAATAATTGCTACACATGCGACGTCTTCAGAGAGCCACGTAGATCACACCATTGCCCACCGCTACCAAAAGTCCCAGCACTTTGCAATCTGAGGACCTGAACCAGTGCAAACACACTTTGCAATGAAAATAACGTCCTCTCCTCACCAAGTTGATCATCAATTGCTAATTACAAGGATTGAGTTGCAATTAGAAACAAATGCACATGTCACTTACAATATTATTCAAAGTAAAATGAGCTACTTAAAGGCTTTTGAATAAAATAAAGGAAATAATGAAGGCTTTGTGGGCATTCACTTCCATTGAAAATAGGCCATAAAAATAAGGCTTCCCTGTCACCAGCCCTGGCGAGGGCCACTTAGGGGCTTTAGAAATATAGCTGCTTCTTAACATCCACCATCAGAAAATGAACCGCTAAGACCCAGGCGGGGACATGTACAAGGCTGACCTTAACGCAGGGGTTCTCAATCTGTGGGTCGCGACCCCTTTGGCGGTCGAACGACCCTTTCACAGGGGTCGCCTAAGACCATCCTGCATAGCAGATATTTACATGACGATTCATCACAGTAGCAACATTACAGTTATGAAGTAGCAACGAAAATAATTTTATGGTTGGGTCACAACATGAGGACCTGTATTTAAAGGGCCAGAAGGTTGAGAACCACTGCCCTAATGGCTGCAGAACTGGTCCGGGTGGATTTCTGGGAACCTGCAGCCATTGCTGAAGGAAGAGGTGAGCATGTGAACTTCATGCCGGGGCACCTGCAACGTCTCCAGGAAGCCCGGGGTGCAGCTGCTCACACCTGAAATCTCTGGGTGGACTCTGGGGAAATGAACGTCACCACTGGCACGGGATCACATTTCAGAGCATCAGTGTTGATAAAACAGTCCTTCTCTTTGCATAAGTTACTGACCCTCAACAATACAGCTGAAGGATCTGGACCCTATGAGTTGGCCGCAGAAATTTAATTCTCCTCCTTATTCCTAATATCGCCTTAACCTCCTCCTTATTAGTAATATTGCCTTAAGGCTTGTTGATTGCTGATAAATTTATCTTATTCAGTTTTGGAAAATTCCATTAAATTCAGGAGGGTTTTTTAAGGAGAGAATGTTCTATCCTATCTAATAAAGAGGGAATATGCTAATTGACCTTCACACCATCGCAAAAGATGGCAGTGCCCACAGCCAATAAGGAGGGAATATGCTAATTGACTGCCCCATCCTCTAAGATGGCAGCGCCCACACCCACTAAGGAGGAACTACGCTAATTGTCTGTCGTGCCCTCAAAGATGGTCGTGCCCACAGCCACAAGATGGCCAGCAGGGGAGGAATGTTGTGGGCAATCAGGCCAGCAGGGGAGGACAGTTGGAGGGGACCAGGCCTGCAGAGAGGGCAGTTAAGGGCGACCAGGCCAGCAGGGGAGCAGTTAGGTTTCGATCAGGCTGGCAGGGGAGTGGTTAGGGGGTGATCAGGCTGGCAGGCAGGCGAGCGGTTGGGAGCCAGCAGTCCCAGATTGTGAGAGGGGTGTCCGACTGCCAGTTTAGGCCCGATCCCTGTGGGCCTCTAGTATAAAAATAATTCTGCATTGCATGAAGCAGAATTTCTTTAATTCAGGTCAGAAACACTAATTTAAATCCTCTGCTGCAGAGACATGAGTGGGACTGCGGCCTTGGTCATGTCTGTGCCCCGTCAGCCTGGCCTGGCCTTACAGGCAGCCCGTAGCTGGCAGAGCACATGGACAGGCCGGGCTCTGTGATTCTCGGCTCTCTCTGCTGTGAACTGTTCTTGTGTCTCACTTCCCGATAGTGTTTTCCTTTCACACACTGAAGGGAATTTTCGCCAACATCTGGAAATGCATGGCACATCTATCTTCTACATGTTTTCGCATGTTAACCAGCACGGGGCGTGGTCTGGACAGCAGGAGCCCCGAAAACCTCCTCTGTTACTCCTGTACCTGCTAGCAGACGGGACCCATAACCAAGTGTGTTCTCAAATGACAGGATCGCTTTAAAGCTGTGACCGAGCGCGGCTCCCACCTTTAGAGCCAGTCAGAGCCTTGCCGATTTCCTACTTCAGTTTCCTGGATTTTATGATGAACCCGGAGGCCAATTTCTATGACTGTGCCTTTATATTCGAAACACATGAAAGGATTTAGACTTCAGCCTTACTTCATTTAATATGTACATTTTTTAAAAAGCACTGGAAATAGTCTAAATTACTAGCAATGGGGAAAGGAGTAAATAGAGTATTCCCATGTGATGGAATCTTAGATGCTTATTAAAATCACACGCCTTGTTTTCATAAAATATTTCATGGCAGGGAAAATTTATCACGATACAATGTTAAATGGAAAAGGCGGATACAAAACTATATATAACATGATTGCATACAGCAGGCATGTACACATTCACACACACACACCCCATATGTACATGTAAATATCTAGGCTTCTCAAGATACTGGAAAGAATTAAACTAAAATCTTACTAACCATAAGGGTAAATTTTTCTAACATTTAAGAAATTTTATTGTGAGTGAATTATTTCTAAATTAAAACATAAAGCATTAGCAGGGAAAAAAACCCCCACAATTAGCAAAGCACAATGTAGAGCAGTGGTTCTTAACCTTGGCTTAACAAAGAAACAGAATTTCCAGAGGATGAGGCCCAGAAATCAGGATTTTAAAAAGATTCCCAGGTGATTCTAATGTGCAGCCAAGGTTGAGAACCACTGATGTAGAGTATTGGGGTGTGCTCATGCAGGGATTTATGACATCCCTGCACATGGGTCCACGACAACATCCTATGCATGAGTCCATGACAACATCCCTACACATGAATCCATGACAACATCCTATGCATGAGTCCATGACAACATCCTATGCATGAATCCATGACAACATCCCTACACATGAATCCATGACAACATACTATGCATGAGTCCATAACAACATCCTATGCATGAATCCATGACAACTTTTTTTTTATGACAACATCCCTATCATGAGTCCATGACAACATCCTATGCATGAGTCCATGACAACATCCCTACACATGAATCCATGACAACATCCTATGCATGAGTCCATGACAACCTCCTCTGCATGAACCCATGACAACATCTCTATGCCTGAGTCCGTTTTGAGATAGCAGTCATCTCACTTATATCCTAGGATCCTACTTGACTACTGAGCAAGCTGCAAATGCAAGGATTTGGCATTGTGCAGTCTTTTCCATTAAAATATACCCAAGCGAGGCGGACAGTGCCAAAGTCAAGCAGACTCTCCTCAGGAGAGAGACTCCCCGGGAAGGCCGTGCTGTTGGGAAAGCGAGGTGCGTGTGACAGTGTTTCCAGTCCTCACCTGATGTCGGTGCACGTGATGCAGGTGATGCCCCGGCTGTTGGTTGTGATCAGGTTCAAAGCTACTGATGTTTCTTTGTCAGAGGTCGGGTGCGCTGAACATTTAAAGAAAAATTCCTGCAAGACAGAGAAATACGATCAAAGACATGGCAGGCAGCCGGCGCTTCCCCGTCTAAACATTTCCAAGGATACGACCTCAGTAAACACAGTACAATTTCTTAAATGCTAGAAAATCGGGGCAGGAGAAGGGCTCTCTCATTAGGTCTGAGTTAGAAATAAATCAGCATCAGATCTCTCGAGGGGAACGAGTGACCCTGGGCAGCAGTAGGGACGCCCTTTGAAGAGGGTCCAGGAATCTGCTAGCTTTTCCTTCTTGTGCTCTTTGTGCCACGGAGCTGGGGACTGTGTGTCCCATGGAGCAACGCCCCTCACTGACAAGTGAGTCTCAGACACGAACTCCACGTGGACGCAGGAGGAAGCCTGAAATAGCGTCTCGTGACGAGGGAAGGGATACCCAGAGCAGTGAACTGACTGGCCCAAAGCCACACAATCACAGGTGAAGCCCGGGCGCGACCCAGCTGCCTACACCATTGGTGGGTGAGCAGCAAGAGTGAAGGACAGAGGAAGGACCCTACTCTCAGAAGGCAGGCACGCCTATGGCGACCCACAGGGGAGCAGAGCGTGCCTCTCCCAGCTCATGCGGAGCCCCACACCTTTCCTGCTCTCCAGCACCCCAGAATCCCGGGGGGACCGGCTCCACCCCCATGCGGCAGCTGGGATGTTGGAACCTGCACCTCTCGCCTTGTTAATTCATTTGCCTACTCTTGTTCTGCCCCTGAGCCCAGGTGCTCTCCTGGGGCAGCAGGCAAGCCAAACTGGTTGGGGGCGTTTCTTCTGTAATGTGGAATGCTACCCTTTCTTAAAAATATGTTGTTATTGATTTTAGAGAGAAGAAGGGAGAGGAAGAGATAGAAACATCAATGATGAGAGAGAAACATTGATGGGCTGCCTCCAGCATGCCCCCTCCTGGGGATAAAGCCCAAAACCCAGGCATGTGCCCTCACTGGGAATAGAACCGGTGACCTCTATGTTCATGAGCCAATGCTCAACCGATTGAGCAGCACCAGCCAGGCAAATGCTACCCTTTCCACTCATCCTTTAAATGCGGCAGATCCCTCAAGGGCATTGAGAGAGAGGGTTAGAGCAACGCCTGACCCCCAAAAGGCTCAGCATGGAGGGCGCGACCGACCCTGTGCAAGGGGGCTGGCGGCCACTGCTTTTTGTCAACATGAAGAAGATCCTCCCTCACAGCACAGAGTAATTCCTGCGGAACAGCCGAGCTGCGGGCGTCGGGACAGTGCTTCACACACAGATGACAGACAGGCGCACTTATGTTTTCTCTGAGCTTGCAGAACCCATGGCAGACACCCCACCAGCAAATCACCAAGTGCTCGGCCAGCAGACAAAACCAAGCAGACAACTGCCCGTGTCCTTTCTGGGGGCGCGGGAGTGCTCACCAATCATGGTGGGAGAGGTACAAATCTGCGGAAGCTCCATCATTCACATGATGCGATAAAACCAAACTGGAAATTACTAGCCCTGTCTATGAAATACGTCTCCCTCTCTCTTTCTCTCTCTCTCTCTCCCTCCCTCCCCCTCCCTCCCACTCTCTCTAAAAGAAAAAAAAAATCAATGGAACAATATCCTCCAGGGAAGATGAACAACAGCAGCAAAATAAAAATCCAGGAATAATGATACAGGTTTGGATACAAAACGACTCCGAACTCGTTGGATCGCACAATACTAGCAGACGTTGCTCATTGAGCAACGCCAGTGGGAAAATTGGGTTAGAGTAGACCTAAAACAGATCAAACCTCAGCAGTAAATGAGTCTGTGATGCTCAATGGTAAGTTTGTTTTCTCTTAATAAGGTGTTAATACAGCCTCGCGGCTGCGGGCCGAGCTCAGCAGTGTCACTCCCAAGATGCAGAGCCGTGGTTTGCAGGCGGTCACTTGCTGCCCATCCACCACGGCCACCGCCAAGGTCACCAGGAGGACCACCATCTGCTAGGCCCTCTGTTGGTTCACAACAAATAAATGCATTGTGTACATGTAAACACACACACACACACACACACACACACACACACACAGGCGTGCACACATGCACCAGCCTGAAGCCATTCTCAGCAGGAGAGAGTGAGTCTTGGATGTTACTGCAGCGAGCACACGGCCTCCAATTGCACCACAGGGTCAGGTCTAACAGCATCGCCGTTCACATCAATTCAGCTGCTGCTACACTGCAAAAGCATTTTTTAAAATTTTACTTCATCACCCAATTTAAAAGCATAAACCTTTTCTGATCCCTAGGCCAATGTAATAGGCAATAAAAATTAAAATGAAATTCTCAAATCCAAAAGATGCTGAAAACACAGTTTTAATTCTTTTCTCTAAATGTGGTGTAACATTTCATTTATGGCAAAAACTGACAGCGACTTATGACATTGTTCCTAGTCTATATTTATCCAACTTGGTGTGACTAGTCAGGCTTCTCCCTGCAAAGTTACTATATACATATTTTTAAAATGACAGGGCATAGACACTCCTGGAGATATTTCAGAGCTCAAATATAAAAACTGCATAACCTTTTTAAGATCTAAAAATATCTAAGTCTAAAAACCTTTCGGCCCCAGGGAAGTACACGCCAATGCTGTTTGGGGCTGTAGCTTCCCCCAACCACAACGTGGCAGCAGCTGCGTGTGTGACGTCACTGGCCGAGGCCGTGGAGGCGTGTCCTGGCTCTGGGTCTGTAGCCCAGCCAGACGGGCAGACAGCAGCCGGGGTCCACACTGCTCGTCACTCCCTCAGAGTAGAGGCTGCCTGCCTCAGGATGCGTGGGCCCGAGAGGACACGCGGGCGTCCGCGGCGTGTGCCGGTTGCACGCGTGGGCAGAGCTCTCCAGTGTCCGTTCTCACACGAAGGAAATAGGAGGTTAAAGCGTTCACGTTGTGCCCTCCCACCAATGACCAGAGCTGACCTCTGGGACAGCACACAGATAGTGGTCTGTCCGCTGGTGATAACCTGCAAGAAACGGCTACGCCAATGCTGTTTGGGGCTGTAGCTTCCCCCAACCACAACGTGGCAGCAGCTGCGTGTGTGACGTCACTGGCCGAGGCCGTGGCGGCGTGTCCTGGCTCTGGGTCTGTAGCCCAGCCAGACGGGCAGACAGCAGCCGGGGTCCACACTGCTCGTCACTCCCTCAGAGTAGAGGCTGCCTGCCTCAGGATGCGTGGGCCCGAGAGGACACGCGGGCTCTCTGGGTGCGGGCCTTGCTCGGGGACAGATGGACAGATGGACGACGGATGCTTTGGGCCCGGCCACCTGCATCCGGGCTGGGCTTCTCTCCTGGCTTTGGCTCTGCAGCTTCCTCCATGTCACTGCTGCCGCTGTTCCTGGTGCTGAATCTACCAGGACGGAGTGCCCCACCCAGAGTGACACTGTCCCTACTGTCCCTGCGCCCACAGCCGGAGGCTGAGGAACGTGTGGGACAGCAGAGTGCACACCTGAGCTGGGAAGGGCAGGAGAAGCGCCCGCCCATCGCAGTAACGCACACGCTGATAACATGGCTGTATTTGGCTACAAGCACAGAGAAATACTGCGCAATCACAAAATCCGAGCTTTAAAACATTTCAAATGACTTTAGACTTGTAATCTAAACTTTTCCCCTCAAAAGTCCTCGTGTCATTAGCAAGTAGAATTTAAAGCTTCTTTTTAGTTGTTCTGTTACTGCGGGCAGCACGGGCCGCCATACACCCTCCTCTCGGACGACACTGGGCAAAGGAGCGCTGTCCACACTTTAATAGTGTCCACGACTCTCTACGTTTATCTTGCTGCCTCATTAGAAAAGGAAGAAGATAACGTGTAATTTGTAAACTTACCTACAAACTCGACAAAACTAAGGTGAATAAAACTAGTGAATAAATGTTAGTCTGTTTCATTGAGACAGTTTTAGAGCAGTTTAGGTTCACACAGCACACACTCCTTTTAAATCAAGTTTTCAAACCAAGGCGAACAGGCGCAGCAAGCGCAGTGAAGGCTACGGGCCTGGGGGACGCATTTAGGAGGTGGTTTTAAAGGAGAGAAAGTCATGGGGGACAAAGACCCCATGGCGGCAGCAGCGGCAGTGGCCGGGCCAGATCCGAAAGGATGCCACCGCTCCCACAGTGACGGCTCATCTGAACGGGAAGGGCAGCCGCGGATGACTTTAAGCAGGTGCCCCGGGCGAGCTTACAGGCCGTGCCCACAGCTGGGTGACCTTACGGGCTGTGCCCACAGCCGGGCAACCTTACAGGCCGTGCCCACAGCTGGATGAGCTTATAGGTTGTGCCCACAGCCGGACGAGGTTACTGGTCATGCCACCAGTGCCTAGTGAGAGAGAGAAGCACACAGAAAGGGAACACCCTGCCATCCCTGTCCCTCTGGGACCAGAGGCCTCCTGGCACTGCACCCGGCATGGGCACTGCCATAAAGACTCCCCGAGTCTATGCGAGCACCCCCAGGCTGGTTACGTGACTGTCAGTAGGTGACTCTCCTTCAGACCACATTTATTTCCTTTCTGGCTGTTTTGCCTACTGTGGTTGATGGATCAAAAATAACATTACAACTACTAATGGTGCCCTAAACTTACTAAATTTTATTTTTGTCTTTAATTTCTTTTTCTCTCTGACTTAAAGCTCCTCCTACTATTCAAATGTGGAGGTACTTGGTGTGAGTAACATTCAGTTAATTCTGTAAAGGACGCGATCTTAGAGAGGAAGGCTGTCACTCTGCTGTGACCTTAGGAACGCGGCACTGATGCTATTCCTACTCCCATGCTCTGTGCGCACGCAGCTAGCACAGCCCCCGGCGCTAGGCGGGGTGTGGAGGGAACCACAGGAGCGAGAAGCAACCTCTCAGCATGCCTTTGGCCCAGGATCTCATGGGGCAGGTATTAGCCCAGAGGAGATGCCTGTGGTTAGGCTATGACGTTTGCGGGGGGG